TCTCCGACTCAGTGACTTGGCAGTCAACGTGTTAATAAGTTACAGCTTAATAAATTAAAAATGTGGTTGAAAAAAAAAGTTGATGCACGCAATTTTAAAATTAAATTTTAATTATAGAATTATTTGTCATGAAAAACATTTCTTTATTTCAAGTCACTTCCGGTATATGCAACAAACTAAATTCTAAACTGATTTCTTCATTGCTTGAGGAACGATTGTCTTCCATGATGACTTCTCCCATCTCAAAGAAAATAGATACCTATCTAATAAAGTTTGGTAAGATAACTCGTTGAATTGATAAGAAAAAATGTCTACAGTAGAAATATACCTAGAAATATATATTTATATTTTGATAATAAAGAAAAATATCTTTTTGAAATTGAACTGCGGATAAATTATCCGTCATCATGAATTATCATATCTCTCAATTATCATCAATTGATTTGGATTGATTAGGAGTAAGCACATTCTTTCATGAAAAGAAACGTCTTGTAGCTTATAAATGTTCCATATGTTCCTTGAAACGTGATGTTACAAAAAAATTTGCAACAAACAAAAGATATGAATTCCTTTTGTAAACGAATTTATACAAAGCACTGGAATTTCCGAACGGAAATAAAGTTCTATTTTCTAAAATACAAGATTGAAGAAATAAAAAAAGTGAAAACTCTTACGAGAAAAAGAAATTTTTTATGCTTATTTCTTGTGTAGTTATATAGTATTCTTATTTCTGTGTTCTTTCACATTTTATTGCAATTGTTCTGCTTCTAAAACATGATGTTTTTCGAGACAGAACTAGAAAATATTTTTGCTTACCTGATGATAGGTATAAATACCTACTTGGGTATCTTACCAAAGGGTAGGAAGAAAAGGTTTCTGAGAAATCTTTGTCCTTCATAAGTCTTTACATAAGTCAAAGGTATAGATATATCTGAAAATGGAAAAGTGGAAACAATTTTTTCTACCTGATGTAACGCTTTGCCTCGGTTAGAAATGTTTGCCGATTTGAATCTTGAAAGAAATACGAAGAAGCAAAATTTACAAAATATATATGAAGAAATTTCATGTTTTTTCTACCTGCATATTTTGCAATATATTTATAAAACTAAATTATATCTCGCATCTTTCAACTAGAATTTAAAAATTTTCATTTATTTTTTTTAAGTAAAAATTAAAATCAAATTATAGCATTAAATATATTAATATTTTCTGATTTTTTTTCAATACAAAAAGAAACTTGTATATATTATTAATACTTTAATTTATACATATATTAACAATAAAGAAAAATATTTAAAATTCATGTTATGTCACAATTATTCCATTTTAAGCGCGGAAGATTTGGTCTACAGAAGAGATTTGGGCTACAGAAGAACTCGACAAAAAAATCTAAAATTGAGTTTTGTAAGGTTATCCTTTTGTCCTTTTGTCCTTTTGTCCCTAACAATTTCTAACCGAGACAAAGCGTTATATCAGGTAGAAAAAATTGTTTTTTTTTCTACTTTTCCATTTTCAGATATATCTATACCTTTGACTTATGTAAAGACTTATGAAGGACAAAATTTCTCAGAAATCTTTTCTTCCTACCCTTTGATAAAATATCCAAAATACCCAAGTAGGTATTTACCTACCATCAGGTAAGCAAAAATAT